TAAATAAGATCGGATGGGCAATTTTAAAAATACATGCCGAGGAGTATTAATCTTTCCATTTGACAACCAGAGTAAATGCAGTGCACTGCATACCCTATATATCCAGATTTCGTATTATAGAGATTTTCCCTCAATTCAATTCTCACACGTTCAATATATTATTCGCGCTCCGTGTACGGTCGCAGCACATATGGCTTGATCGGCAAAAGGTTTGTCGAAGTTCCACACACAGACATATACATTTAGATATTAAATACACACAACAATATCACAATTCCGCCTTTTCAGGAAATGTACATAATACAATACTCTAAACGCTGTGGCATCATTAATAAAAATCATTTGTTATAGACGCACGCACCGAAGCGATGCTGGGAACAACGGTCTATCAGATATATCTGGACCGATAGCCGGAGGGCTGAGGAAGAAATTTTGAGAATATATAGATTTAAACTGATCTATGTCAAATATTTTTATTTGAAGCCTATGCATACCTTTCTAATCTCTCTAATTCAAATTTCTCTAATCAAGGGGACGACAACAAGAGCGACAACAACACTAGTCTCTAAAAACACTACAGTTTTCTTGCATTATCACATTCTAACATTATGAACGTCAATTCACATAAAATTTAATTAATAATAATTTTACGATCGATGTACATAAATATTACAAATATGAAAAGTGTACAAGGAAACTGCATAAATCCGAGTATTTCTGTCGGAAACATTTTTTTTAGATTTGTATCTGCTATCTTATAGTTTCAAACTTTGTGACTTCAATGATATATTATAATTAAATATGTGAATTGAAATTTAATAATTTTTTAAAACTTATAATAAAATGCGTTTGAAATATGACTATAATGCTCTAATATCCTTAAAAAAAAAGAGTAAAAATGACTTCTGTTAAATTTTGAATATTATATCAGGCCAAGTAACATAAGGTTAAAAAATCAATTTTACAAGATATTATATAGTAAATAATATACAGTGTTATCTCTATAAAAATGTACCCATAAAATTAATATTTTGGTTGAATAAAAAAAATCTTTTTAAAATTGAAAATAAGACATTCGACAAGTTTTGCCTCTAGTCGACCCATTTTATTCTGCCTATGGGGTAAAAAGGACCAAATGATAAATACTTGAAAAACGTAAAAACAAAAGTACATTTTTACAGTGATGAATTAGCTGGGAGTTTTACTGAACATGGTTAGATAATTGTTTGTTTAATATGCATCATTTATTGTAATATACATAATTAGTGCTCATAATATTGCTCGAAGTCAAATTAGACCTCTGTACCCTACCCTACCCTATATATCAGAAGTTTTGTAATATTATCCCGATATTTTTATTAAGATCAGTCTATATTTAGAAGACATTCAGATTTTTTTTTGATATCCTAGCGTATAGTTTGATTGAAAGACAATTTAGTAGTTTTCCAATCCTAAATGGAACATAGTATGACCTTATTATGATTAACAGACTTATTTGACTTCAAAATTTTATGCAGCACTGCTCCCGAAAGGCAATTTTCACTTAAGATTATATTTGAGATTTACAACATCAAGTGGTAATTTAGTATCATGCTGCTTAATATCAAGCTGACTGCTTTACTTCAATTATATATATATATATATATATATATATATATATATATATGACAGGAGAATCATCAATAAACCCCCGTTTTCAACCCTACTCCACGACGGGCTTAAACAAAAATAAACAAGAACTTGCACGCCAGCCCCCCTATTAAATTATATGATCTGCCAGAAATACAATAATTGTAACCATATATAAAATTTGAAAATTTCGTACTAATTAAGCGTTACAAACGCAATTCAATGTAGTTCCTATAAATTATTAAGCGTTTCACTATTCGACTAGCCCTATTTTAATGTCTTAATTTGTTTCATTTTATGCGAATCTTAGCGTTGGAGAGTAGAAATAAGAGGTCGAAGTATACTTCGGCCGAAGTATGATTCGGCGTATAGCTTTTGCTTTTTGAAAGCTTTTTCAGCACTATTCATTAATATCATTAAATAGGATTTTAAACTACTCACTGGCAATGGTTGGATAATTTGAATTTTTTTATTGCAGTTTTTTGTATTTGTATTTTTGTATTATTGTTCAGTTCATTACTAAATGTTTTACTTGTCATAATAATTAAAATTATTATTTAATATAAAAAACTTTTGCTTCTCAAATTTTTCAAGACAAAATTAATGGTTACTCATATTTTCATCACTAATAATGTTAGCCGCCAAAAAATGATAAACTTTGTTTGATAGCATAAAACATTATACAAATTTTAATATAAAAGTTTTACATAAACGTAAATCAAAACAACTACAGCAAACAAAATTAATAATTGTATTCTAAAAATAATTATATATTATTACATATTTGTTAAAACAAATGATAAGTTTTGTATTAGAGCAGGCATTTTGATGACTATTTTATGTGTTCTATAAAAATTTTTACTGGCTGATTGTCGAATAAGTCATAAACGCGAAATGCGCGTGCCTCTCAAGAAATCAACACTCCTAAATATATTATATAAAAGAAATATATTTGTGTATTACAAAACAATATCGTCACGGTTACCATTAGGATGTCACGCACTGTTGGAACTATGGACAAAATATCGGTGGACTTGAAAGAACCTCATGGTGCGAGCAAATAAAGGACAAGAGTACATTTCGAACTGAAGAAAATGAAATTTGGACACAAAAAAAAACACAGTTGACAGATGCTCTATTGAATTAGTCACACTTTTCAACCAATTCATTTGCGATGCAATTTTGTACCCATAAATTTCGATTTCATTCGGAAAAAGTCAATGATTGATTCCTTAAAAACAAAATGATCTGAAGGTGTAAATACGTCATAAATATTTCTGCGGTGTAAATTGATTTATTAATCATAGTTTAATGCCAGGGTTTAAATATTAATCGGGAAATGCCATGAAGTAGCGTTCTGACTCCCGATGCCTTAAAAACCCCCTTGTTCAAACATTGCGGGAGCAGAAACGAACTGGGCAAAATGTAACAGTACAGTATAGAAAACATTTATTTAATTATTTAAGTTTTTATTTATTCACAATATAGAATTTGAACTTGCCAAATGCAATGTTAAACAATTCGGTAGACTCTGTTGCAAGTTTTTTAGTGAACGGGACTTTTATTTTCAGGTACCTGATGTAATTGGGCGTAAATTAGGCTACATTTAATAAAGACAGTTTATTAACACAATTTATATAAAGACTATCTTTTTTAATTTTTGTGAATAAATAACTTCCCGTAGAGTGAGTTATAGTAATCACAAAAAAATCAAAAATAATTATAATAGCCTTACCTTACAAGAAATTGAAGTATGTGTGTGTATATATGTGCGGATACAATTTTTCGTCGATGATTTCAAGAAGACGTATCAACAAATTGAAAGTTTCAAAAAAACATTCGATTCATATTGATTAAGACGTGCTGATTAGTTTTTGATCAAGGCAGGTTCAGCCGTTTCGAAAATGCGATGCAAAAAGTGCCAAAAATGATAATTCAGTTATAAAGAATGATTCAAAAAACAATTTATTTGTATTGACTGAACAAAAAACTGTTTAAATTTTTTGGGAAGGCAGGTCCAGCGGTTTAAAAAGTAGAAAAAGGCCCTTAGCCGGTCAAAAATGATCATTTGGCATAGGCACATTAAATTATCAGATCTTTTATAAAGATTTCAATCATAATAATAATTTTGTTTATATTTTTATGGGTACCGTACCATTTTTTATCCGTTTGATATAAAGACAAAAATCTTGAGACGCTGCGCTTACGTGCTTCGATAATTTCATTTACTACACCGACACGCGCTATTTCAAATCATTTTATTTCACAACTCGCTGCTGAACAGTTCGCAGTCAGTTACATTAATTTTGTTTATTTACTTTTGATAAGTTTTAACAACTGTGTTTCATAACGTTTGTTTGTGTTATGTGAGTGAATTATTTAAGTGTCATCCAGTAATTTTTAACCAGTGCCAATACTATGAGTTCTACTGCAATGCAGCAATGCATCACGCGCCAGTCGATAACTGGAATTATGGAAATGGATACTATCATCAAGGATATCAACAGTATTATCCGCACAGTGAAAATCAATCTGCAAACCAATACCGTGGGTATTCAGATTCGTCTTATCAAACATACAAGTCAATGGGATATGGTATGGGAATGATAATTATGCTTATAATAATTATGCGAATCATAGCCCGCAAACGGATAACCGCGGATCATCTCCATATGATTCTCACATCATGGGTACTCATATAATCAACAATACGCGTCAACGGATTATAATACAGCGTTAATTAGCAATAATAATAATGGAGTGCAATCCGCGGATGCCTATTACATGGAGGCGAAGACGCAGTACTACCAACAGCAGCATCAAATGCAGCAGCAACTGCAGCAGAGTCCTAGAGAGAATACGGTGGAGTATAAAAATATGCTTGAGACACCGCTTAACGAAGAATGCTACCAACGAAACACTACAACTAGACAAGAAGACCGTTCAAAAGAATGTCAAGTGCAGCAGCCTTCGATCTTGTCCAGGGAACGTTTATTTCAATGCAGCCGATAATGCACACAACGGTGCACTGCTCTTTTCCCGGTCACTCTGCAGATTAGGTATGTAGGGCAGAAAAGGACACAGATATGTGAGAGGGAGGTCTTGCAAATAATAAGGGAACGTGCCGTACTGTACAGTTGACATACGCCGATTTTATTGTCTCCAGAAAAACTCGCACTTTTAGAGGGACACGCGCTATTTCAAATCATTTTATTTTCAAACTCGCTGCTGAACAGTTCGCAGTCAGTTACATTAATTTTGTTTATTTACTTTTGATAAGTTTTAACAACTGTGTTTCATAACGTTTGTTTGTGTTATGTGAGTGAATTATTTTAAGTGTCATCCAGTAATTTTTAACCAGTGCCAATACTATGAGTTCTACTGCAATGCATCACGCGCCAGTCGATAACTGGAATTATGGAAATGGATACTATCATCAAGGATATCAACAGTATTATCCGCACAGTGAAAATCAATCTGCAAACCAATACCGTGGGTATTCAGATTCGTCTTATCAAACATACAAGTCAATGGGATATGGTATGGGAATGAATAGTTATGCTTATAATAATTATGCGAATCATAGCCCGCAAACGGATAACCGCGGATCATCTCCATATGATTCTCAACATCATGGGTACTCATATAATCAACAATACGCGTCAACGGATTATAATACAGCGTTAATTAGCAATAATAATAATGGAGTGCAATCCGCGGATGCCTATTACATGGAGGCGAAGACGCAGTACTACCAACAGCAGCATCAAATGCAGCAGCAACTGCAGCAGAGTCCTAGAGAGAATACGGTGGAGTATAAAAATATGCTTGAGACACCGCTTAACGAAGAATGCTACCAACGAAACACTACAACTAGACAAGAAGACCGTTCAAAAGAATGTCAAGTGCAGCAGCCTTCGATCTTGTCCAGGGCTCTTCAAGGAGAAACAAGCGCCACTTTGTACAGTAATCGTGGTGGATATTATGGAAAATCAACTGGACCTGAGGCGGGGCGTTCGCCAACTTCGACAAGTTGTGGTCCTGCTGATTCACCCTCGCCTTGTCTCAGTTCTGCTGCGTCATGCGAGAGCAATCTGCAGGCGCCTATAACCAAGATGGCTTCAGGAAATGAGGAGATTGACTGCGACAATATGGCGATGAAATCAGAAACCCGAGCAAAAGATGGTGCATATCTACCCTGGATGAAAGCTGCACCAGGTAATGACATAAACAATAAACATTATCAAAGTTGATCGGATATTTTATAAGTGACTGATCAACTTTTAGAGCTTTTTAATTTTAAATAACATTCTTTGACATGTCATGGTTTTATTATGTAGTCAGATACTAATTAGGCAACATGGACTGACAATCATAAATATAAAACTATTTGTCATTATTTTGTATTACACTGACAATGTTTATAATTTGTTTTTTATTAATTACAGAGACATCTCCTAAAGAATCATCCAAACGTACACGCCAGACCTATACCCGCTACCAAACCCTCGAATTGGAAAAAGAATTTCAAAACAATCGCTATTTGACCAGACGACGACGCATAGAGATAGCTCATGCCCTTTGTTTAACCGAACGCCAAATCAAGATCTGGTTCCAGAATCGTCGCATGAAGGCTAAGAAAACAATAAAATCAGATCAAATTTCATCTCCTACACATATTACAACGGTTGATGATATGAATTCGGATGAATTCATGCACCAGCAGCAGACACCAGTTGGAGAAATATTGCACAACAATCCTGGGATCGGTCCATATGGTATACCAGGTGACGACTTTCTTCCAACCTACCATCATGGTAGAGATTTAGGAATACATCGGGCAGATAGTACGATTCCATCACAGATCGAACATAATGCATTTATGGAACTTGCACGTAGTACGTGTTAGTAGAGATTAAAATATAATGTATTATCTAATAATTTTCAAAATCATATCCAAGGCGTAATCAGTGGTCGTCAAACTGAGTTGTATTGATTTTAGGTTTTACAATTCGCGCTAGATTGCATTCAAAATAGTTTAAATATTAATTTAAAAATAAAAAAGTTCCATAAAACACGTTTACATAAAGATGTCAACAATTTCTTAATATGCTTACACATTATTTATTCTTATCTATTTATTGAATAGATCATTGATATAAATTTAATATTTACTATCGCCATTCATTTCTTCAATGAATTATACACGTATATAATTTAATTAGAAAGATATGATTTTTTACCTGAGCAAAAAAAAACATTCCATTGAATTATTAACCTTTTTATATTTTTATCAGTTGGTAATTAGTCACCAATAATTTTATTTATTATTTTTTATCTAATACTTTTTTTGTATGTAGGAATACATTTGTAAATATGTTTTATTTCATACAAAATAGATATATTATAGTGATATTAAAATTGCATTTGTATATATAATTAGTAATAATTACGGCCTTCTAATTTAAAAGTTCCTATAAATGGCCTTCCAGTATATTGCCAAAAAAAGATTTATATAAATTATGTGTATTAATTATAGTTATATTCTGGATAAAATTATAAGTAAGTCAAAAAAATTGTACAGTAAAAAAATATATATAAAATTTATTTATTTTAAAATTAATTTTAAGAAATATAGAGAATTATTTATAGTATTCATATCAAATATATTTTTATGTATAAATAAAATATTTGTATGATTAACAATTGACATATATCAATAAAATCTATGACAATAGATCATTGTTTTATTGCAAAAGTTCATTGAACTTACACAATAAATTTTTCATTTGCAATAAAGCTCGGTGTTGGTAAAAATTAAATAAACATTTCAAACAATGCACCGCAAAGATAAACAACCAAATATAAAGAATGTCAGTTATTAACAACAAACTAAGTAAAACGACAACCGACAATTCATTTTATAACAATAGGAAAAATTTTATATCTAATTGTTATTTACAAATTCAAATAAATTCCAGTCTCTAAATTATACAGTGCATTTTTTCGTACAAAATATTATTTGTACAACATAATTGCAATCGCAAAAATATGCAGTTATTTCCTTTCAAATTTTAAGCAAAAATTTTAGAAATAATAACACCCTAAAACATAAAGTACTATGAATATAATATAGATTGTTGAATTTAATAGATCTAAAATATCTTATCTTTAGGGCAGTAGAAAGTTATTTCAAATTCAAAGTTAGGTATGTAAAACGACAACCGACAATTCATTTGACAACAATAGGAAATAGGAAATATTTTATATCTAGTTGTTATTTGCAAATTCAATTAAATTCCAACCTCTAAATTAAACATTGCATTTTTTCAATTTCCGTACATGCCATTATTAACTGAATAAACACAATTGCAATTGCAGAAATATGCAGTTATTTCCTTTCAAATTTTGAGCAAAAATATAAGAAATAATAACATCCTAAAACATACCAAAGTGTTCCATTCTTTTGACAACAACAGACAATTCATTTGAAAACAATAGGAAATAGGAAAAATTTCATGTCTAGTTGTTATTTACGAATTCTTCAAATAAATTCCAAACTCTAAATTATACAGTGCATTTTTTCAATTTCCGTACGGAACATATTAGCTAAATAAAGACAATTCTAGTTACAAAAATATGCAGTCATTTCCTTTCAAATTTTAAGCAAAAATGTAAGATATATTAACATCCTAAAATATGCCAAAGCGCTATAATTATGATTAGATTGTTGTTAAGTCTAAATTATTACGAACTTATTAAGTCTAAAAAATCTTATGTTTAGGGTAGTGAAAAGTTATTTCGAATTGAAAGCTTTTCATAAAGGGAAAACTATACATTAGTAACAATTGCATATTTTCTCTTTTAATTTTCCTATTATTAAACTTACATCAAATAATTTAGAACAAAATATTTAAATACTATACTAAGATTAAAATCTATGTAATCTATTTTCTTATAGATATTTTCAACATCAAACAGAACTTAACGAGAATGACTTCCATATGGCAACCCAAACGGCTGTCCTATCTCTATATATTGGATTTATTATTACAATTTCTATAATACTAAAAATTTTCTATTGATATATGAAGGCTTGATAAAGGCTATTTTTACTTCGGAATTATAATGCAATCTATAAAATGTAAATATAATTGAAATTACAAATTTAATCACTAGAAGTAAAACTTGATTTTTTTAAATAGTTTTGGAGTTAATAACTTAAACATATTTTTGCAATAAAGTTATGTTCTAATTTATTGTTTTTTTTTTCAAAAAAAAAACACCAATTTAAACAAAAGTTGAAAGTGATATAATTCAAAAGGGGTGGAAGGACATCAAATATTCCAAATTATCTACCAAAAACGGTTGAAATGAAAATAGATACTTGATTTTATTTAAAATAAAATTTATATCTTGATTTCATTAGTCAAAAAAACACATTTTATTTTTATATCATATTAATTAAAAATGCATATTTTCTTGTTAAATAAATTATGTTACGTTCTGAATAAAATTTTCAAACATAATAGCAACATTAAACAAAAGTTGGAAGTAGTTTATTTCTACTTCCATATTATTATTGGGTCTCTAGTTTTCCTCGAATCACATAAAATATGCTTACTAACAGAAAACTACTATAGAAAACTGTGAAGATAATCGCTACTTAATCTATGTCAACATTATTATTTGGCGAGCACTAAACTTAAATCTTAATTTTATTATTTAAAAAAAAGCATTCTAGTTCTATATTATAAAAATTAAAATATTGTTATAATTTATTTAAAATGGAAAATAAACTATTGGGTTGTTTTTTCTAACATGTCTAAATTTTAATGCTATCTATAGGCAGAGCGGGGCACAAAGGTTCAATTTGACTTTCAGCAAATACATTGTGAAACCCAAATAAATTATATCACAACAAACGATACATATCATACAAACAACTATCTGACTCTGTTCAGTAAAACTCGCAGCTAATTTATCATTGTAGAAATGTTTTTTGTCAATTCCCATAGGCTGTGCAAAATGGAACGGTCAGGAGACAAACAGATCCAATGCTTTATTTTTAATTTTAATATACTTGTTACTAAATATACTTTTTAGTAACTATTTTGTGAACACATTTTGAACTGAATACAAATCGAAATACAACATTCGAAAAATAATGCAACGGTCTTGCTGCTACTTCGTTATGATGGTCCTTAGCGCATGAGCGATTATCTTGAGAATTAAATTCTTAACACAAATTGAGTTTAATCTAATTATGCACAAGTCAAATGAACAATAGAATCATTCAACCTTCAGAATCAATAATATAAGATTAGTTAATACTTAAAAGGTTTACATAGCTAATGGAAGATAATCCACTTGCCAGAGAGAACACCGTGTTAGCCAACCCTTTTGTCAATCCACTTTGTTATGGCACCTACAGGACAACCCTTCTAGCAAACAGGGATTACAGTAATTTCGTTTTATTGCTTTTATGACTTTACATATTTTCGACTTCACAAACGTTTATATTTATACATATAATAAAGTGACCGTTTCATGCCCCAAAAAATGTTATGTCAAAACAGTTGTTAACAAATTACGAATCATATTGTCGCAGCGGGGGCACGAGAAGGAAATCTTTTACCTGTAGATTATACTGTTACTTATTAGAGATTTTAAATGATTACGCACGTACCTGTACCTAGGATAGCTATATAGCTCTATATAGCTATATATATATATATATATATATATATATATATATATATATATATGAGCGTGTGTGTATATGTATATATATACGAAATATTAGCATTTTATGAATGTATAATAGTTAAATTTGAAATTGCATTTTTGTGATTCAATATGCAACTTTAATTTACTTAATTTCACTAATAACTTTATAACTTTTATTATATTATTTTTAATTTCTATATAATCATATTTAATTACATATTTTATTTTAAAAGCTGTATTAAGTCATCCCTTATTTTTGTAATAATGAATGCTAATTGTAAGAAATGATTCCAAAAAAGATTCTTGTCTTATTACAAAGAGAAATTTTGGAAATTGGAAATTTAAAATGAATTTCATGAAAAATATTTCTTTTTAAAAAATAAGAAACTAAAAGGATATGGTGGCATTTTTAAAAATTGACACTGAAAAATTTTATATAAACATAAAATATAAAACATTATATAAATTTTACGCTGCGAGCAATTTTTTTAAATTTATTTATGACGTTATTATTCAAAATTTATATCAAAATTTTAACATATTTATGTTTGATAATTTTATTGTAAAAACTGTAAGAATACATACATGTGGGAATGCAAAATCTGAGCCAAAGTCTCAAAAAAGCCTCTTACGATATAATAAGAAAAATTTTCACCCAAAGTACATAAAAAATACTATTGAAAAATTGCGTCGTTTATTAAAAAATATTTTTTTTTAGAAAATAACCTAAAAAGATACGGTTGCAATATTAAAAATTGCCACTGCGACAATTACGTTGGGTAGGGCGAGCACAAAGTACCAATTTAATTTTCAGTAATTATACTGGAAAAGCCAAATCAATTATATCACAACAAATAACACATATCTGACTATTTTCAGTAAAACTCACCGCTTATTGATCATTGAAGAAACCTATTTTTTTGCTGTTTTTTTTACCACATGGGAGGGGTAAAATGGGATCGCCAAGGGTCAAACAGGTCCAATGTCCTATTTTGATTTTTAAAGGAATTTTGTAAAATTATAGCTACATTATTTAACCAACGCAAAATATAAATACATCAGGGAAACATTTTTTACAGAGATAACACTGTACATAACCTTCATCTGGTATTTCCTCAGAAATATAAATATATAGGAATAGATATATATGTAAATTTTCTCATAAAAAATTGCTTTAACTTAATTTACTATTTTTTATTATTTACACCTTTGCCAGGGTAAAAGTT